TGGTATGGATTTTATTGCTCTGTTAAAGTATTTTGATCTCTCTCTTTTGCATTGTCTAATCTTCTTTGAATCCCATCCAGTGAAATTTTCATTTGAGAAAATATATTATTCACATTTGTTTTTTTATGTTTAATTTCTCTTATTTTTTTTTGTTTTTAAATACATGTGTAGAGCTTTACTATCTGTTTTCATGTTCTTTGCTAGTTTTGTCACTTTTGACATTTTGTATTTCTTCACAGACTGCTTTGTGTTTTTCTAGTTATAGGTCAGTTTTTTTTTCTTATGTCTAGTAATTTTTGATTTAATAATGGACATTATGTTGATGAGTGTCTGGATTTTGGGGGCTTTTATTTTTCTTAGAGAGTTTTGGTCTTTGTTTTGGCAAATAGGTTGGTTGTTTGCAGGTTTGTTTAAACCCCATTTTAAAGCTTTGTTAGGCCCTCCTTCATTCTGGGTATTTCAGAGTAGTATTTGTCTTTGCTGAATTACCCAGGAATACCCCATGGACTCTTCACTTTGGCCCTTTGAATATGTCTCTGCCTTTTCTGGGCTCCTGGAAGTGTTTATCATACATTCCCTGGTATCCATCCATCTGTCTTTTCCTCATTTTTCTACCTTCCTTCTCCTCTTTTTCTTCTTTCTTTTTGCCTGTCCATATGGAACTTCATTTGTCCTTTGCCTGGCCTAGTATTCAGCAAAGACTCAAGGAACCCCCGTGTAGATTTCTGCAGCTCTTTTCTGCATTGGTCCTTTTTTCTTTCTTTGTATCTTTTTTTTTTTAATTCTGTTGTACAACCTCAAGGTGTATCAGCTTTCCTGAACTCCTGTCTCTGACTCTACTGCTGCTAAGCTGCTGGGTTCTGTTTGGTTTTTCCCTGAGTCTGTCCATGATCTAGAAATCACTTTCAGGTAGATAACTCAGATAATTATGAAACTCACTTTATTTGTTTTTTTTTTTTTCAGATTTTACAGTTCTGTGTTACCTGATGTCTACTATCTGAAAACAATTGTTTTATATATTTTAGCCTATATTCTACTTTTTAAAAGTGGGAGTTCATGTCTGTTCCTTGTTACTCTTTCATGGCTGGAGCCTAGTTATTTTTTAAAGCTGTAGTTACTGCCTGGCTGGCGTAGCTCAGTGGATTGAGTGTGGGCTGTGAACCAAAGTGTCGCAGGTTCGATTCCCAGTCAGGGAACATGCCTGGGTTGCAGGCCATGACCCCCAGCAATCCCACATTGATGTTTCTCTCTCTCTCTCCCTCCATTGCCTCTCTAAAAATAAATAAATAAAATCTTAAAAAAAATAAAGCTGTAGTTACCGATTATGCTACTAGGTTTTATGTTCCTTAAGGAAAGATATCTGACCATCTTTCTATCTTTAGCTCATAGAAGAGGTTAAATATTTGTTAATGATGCTCTTTGATTGGGAAAGGCACTAATATTTTCTGTGATGAAAGTTTTTATTTCATATTCTTACCATACTTTGAATTAAAAAATGTTTCTCATGGAGAGTTGTGATCTGCTTTAAAAAAAAAACCACTTATTAGAATTTTAAAAACCATTTTTGTGAAAGAGTTCCATACCATGGGAAGAAAGTACCAACATTTAATTTGCCTGGAATCAACATTTCCTCTTCTCAGGCAGCATCCAGCCATGTCTAAATTATTTTGACCTTAGTTATCCAGTTTGTAGGATTTTTTAGACCTTTTCCCGCCACCTCTTTATTTTTTAGTTCCTACTTTTCCTTTATTTTTTTTCTTTCTGCCACATCACTGTTTCGGGGGTGGGGCTGCATTATGAGAAGAGGGGACAGCTTGCATGCATTTAAATAAAACTTAGAATTTGGTGGGTGATTCAGTTTTAATAATGTTTAGGGGTTGTCAAAAATAATGTCAAAATCTTGTTTTACATTTCCATGACTGTTAGCAATATAATTTTTTTTTTTTTGGTGTCTGCTGTACAGGTGTTTAATTGCCTGTCATTCTTTAACAGGTCATGGATATTTGAAATATACCAGAAATTTGAATAATCTTTTTGATCTGATACAGTGGGAATATGAATATAGTAGAGAAAAGACAATAGGGAAATAAGGTGACATTCTTTGTTTCCCAGAATCACTGGGTTTTATACTAATTAGCCATGAAAAATGTGGACTTACTTGACAGACCAGATGTTTTCGGCAGGCAGCCATGTGTCTCATCAGCAAATGTGCCTCGTGTCTGCAGGCAGGATTGTTAGATTTTTCTCATTCTATAAACAATGTTCCAAAATATAACTAAACCCCAGAGTGTGTTTATCTTTTTGGCTTAATTTCTGGCTTTCTATCCATTCTAAAGTTTCTCTTCAGATGAATTTTTATTTATTGCACATAACTCTTCATACCTAATTGTACTATAAACACCATTCTGTTTACACTAAACCACATGAATTGCACTGTTTTTGAGTCTGTAAAATTTTAATAAAAGCAATCATTTTAGATTAAATTATATTTGTATTTTTATTTCTAAATTTAGAAGAAAAAATCTTTTCTTCTCTCTGTGTATTTGGACTAACTTTTTGATTTTTGGAACACATGAGGGAAAAACAACAACAAAAAAGTAAAGGAAAACCAATCTCAAGTCTTCAGTGTTTGTGGTAGTATGTGCATTTGAGCAAGAAGAGATTTAGTATCTACTGGGTAATTCACTCTTAAAATCTAAAAAAGGGCTATAATGCTTTATTTATAGATTTTAAACTGAGTTTTTCCTATGCTAAATATATCATGGAAATTAGGAAATTAAAAACATGAAGAAAATTATCAACCATATGTTGCTATCCAAAGGAAAAAAAATCATGGTGAACATTTTTGTACATATTTTTCTAGTCATTTTTTCTATGTACTTATATGTGAGTATTTTTAGTAATATATAGGTCATGAATGCGTGTATATTTATAATCTATACATGTATACATATTTTTTACAGAAATCAATTTTTATTATTTACAAGTAATTTTTAAAAAATTTGTTTTACTTTGTTAACAAAGAAAGCTACTGTAATGGGAGATCAACCTGAATTCCTGAACTAGCCACTAAGATTACATGTATGGAATAGTTAACATTCTTAAAGTAGACTTAGTTATTTTTTAAAAAAAAATTTTATTGTTTTTTCACATTACTATTTAGTTCCCTTACACTCCACTCCCCCTGCAATCACCACACTGTTGTCCATGTTACATATTTATAATTATGAAAAATGTTACGATTATACTTGTAAGTTCTATTTTTGAAATAATTTTCATGTAACAATATTGTAAAGATTTTGCCAGTGTTTTTAGCTTTTTACTACATGGATATATCATAATGTGTTTAATTGCTTGTTATTAGACATCTAGATTAGATTTTTTATACACATAACTGTAATTCAAGAAGTTTATGCATGTTTTCATAAATCTAGTTCCTTTTTGGAAATACAACTGTTTAGAATATTTGTTTTGGTAAAATTCTTCATTGAAAACTTGTTATCACTAATACAAATTTGTTTACTAGCAGGTTGTGAATTATCATTTATTGAAACTCTTGAAAATAATACCTATAATCTTTTAAGAAATCTTTGCCAGTTTGAGTGATAAAATTATGTTTATGTCACTTAAATTCCTTTAAGGGTTTTCTTTGTTTATTGTTTTTTTTTTTCACCCTTAAGTGTATATGTTGCAAATAATCTTTACCAGGTTGTTGTTTCCTCTTTTTTCTTATTATGTTCTTTTTATGCACAACTCATTCGTTTGTACCTAGTTATTTTTATCATTCAGTATGCTAAATATTATCATTAGGTAACACTTAGCATACAATTTTCAAATACCTCTGTTAAATTTTTTAATGTTATATTTTGAATTATTTTCTTGGAGGCTGCTCTGTGGATTATAATTTCTAAATTTATTACAGTTTACTTTAGGTCATTGTTGATATAATTTGGTATAATATAGTAGTAGTTTTTCTTCAGTTTAGCTCTATTTCTTCCTCTTTTGTACTATTTTGTCATATATAATATCTGTATATGAGCTCTGTCCAAAAGGTTCTCAGCCATGTAACATGAAAACATAGAGACATTTATTGAAGAAGATACAAGATATAAGAAACATTGTACATAGGACAGTGATGCCCTTCAAAGTAGGCACCTTGGGACTTCACACAGTTCTCCCATTTGCTGTCAGCTGCCCCATCATATTTTTCTGAATCTCATTGATGGTCTGAAATCTCTTCCCTTTCAAAGATGATTTTAGCTTTGGGAAAAGCCAGAAGTCATAGGGTACAAAATCTGGACTGCCAGGGGGCTGAGTCTCCTGGGTGATTTGGTGTTTCACCGAAAAAAACTCTGCATGGGATGTGATGTATGAGCAGGCACATTGTCATGATGCAGCTGTCAATCACCAGTTGTCCACAACTGCAGCCTTCTGAATCATCCAAACAGTTTCCACAGAGGAATATTCAAGTTTAATACAACATTTGATGCAGATTCGTTGCTCTACTTGATCAGTCATTTTGAATGTGACAGCCCCAGAGTATACATGCTCACTCAGTGTTGTCTACCACCCCCACTGAGTAGTACAGTGGAGTTGTCATTGTTCACACATGCACATTCCAGTCCACTCTCCTTGGCTGCCACGTCACATCAGTGTCTCTCAAACTGTTCTTATTATATTAACTGTGGTTGGATTTTTCCCAGGCAGTGGTTGATTTTGGAGAGAATCAATAAGTGTTGTAATCACTACTTTAAAAAATTTCACCTTTAATGAAATTAAAAGAGGAAAAAAATTTTGATTATAATTTACTTGTCTTTTAATGCATACATTAATTGTTAATAATTTGAGGTTTTCCATTGATATTTTTATTAATACTTAATACTGGATTTGTCTTAATGTGCAGTGAAAACTAATTCAGGCTAGAAATTTTTCCTGAGTAATGTATCTGTGATCCTAAAGCAGACTGAACTGAGCTAAAGGTGATACAATTCTCTTTATAGGCATTATCCTGCACTGAAAACTCTGGAACATCTAGAGCATACCTATCTGCCTCAAGTAAGCCACTATCGATTCTGCAAGGTGATGGTGGATAACATCCCCAAGCTTCGAGAAGAAATTAAGGATGTCTCTATGTCTGATCTCAAAGACTTTCTGGAAAGTATCCGCAAACATTCAGACAAAATTGGAGAGACTGCCATGAAGCAAGTAGGTCTTGGGTTTATGATAGCTTGGCCAATGACTATGAAAGTATTTTGTTAAATTCTTTTGCTAAGTGTCTTAATATTCTTGTCATTTTAGGGAAGTCCTTCGTTGTTATGGTAACATGTGATTTAAAAATATGTTTTATTAAGAGAAATGAATTACTTACTAGTGTGTGTGTGTATATATATGTATATATATTTTGCTGTGTGCATTTTCAGTAAATAATGATCATACCAACAAATTCAATTGTGGTAGTTGACATTGGGGCTTTGAAGAGTGTTTTTTTTTTTAATACTTTAATACTTTCCTTGGCTTTGGATATGATTTGAAGTCCCTGATTTTTAAGAGTTCTCTTCCTAGTTAATGAGCTCAATTGTGTTGTAGGTACCTTTGGTTGATCATTTACGATGTAGACAAGCTATCAGGTTACAGATTTGAATGTTTCTGTAATTGTTATTTCTGATATGATTGGGTGTCAGTGAGAAAGACCTGCTGGGAAATGCTGTGAATTATGATCATAGAGAGGGATTTGTTTACAGCCTACAAATTAATAAATGTGTTAGAGATATTTAGATTTTTTCTTTAATTTCTTTATCTTTAAGTTACCAAAGCCAAAAGGGATGTCTGGATTTCTTTTGTCATTATGAATTAAAGGGCAGGGATGATTTGCAGAGTTACTTGTACTTTTGAAATTGAGTCACATTGATTTTATTAAAATTTCTGAGTATACCTTATGATGTAACCTGCAACAATAAGTAGAGGGTTCATTTATTATGGAAAGCATTTTTTTTATTATACAACTGTGTTCTTGAATAAGTCATTTGTAGTTTTATTCTGTGAGGAAGGAGGAAATAGGTCATATTTGGATCATGTATTCAGTCTCAGCTGGTCTTGGTAATTCTCTTTCAGATGTCTGATTCTGCCAACGAGAATTGCCTACTGAGAATCCCTTCCCTAAGGGAAGGCAGATACTCTTTTCCTCTTTTTAATTTTGTCAGTGTTATAGTTTACAAAGTGGAAAGTTTAAAACTAGTTGATGATAAACCTGGTAGAAACTATGATACCATGTCTGTTTCTGTGTGGGAAAGAAACAAAATTGATCATTGAAAATATACCTTTGCTCTGATGGGTATTGTTTTAAGTATGATAATGAAGGTATCTTATAAGTTATTATTGTGGTTGACTAATGTTTCCTAACCTTTCAAAATACAGGAGAGTATACTACCAAGCCTCTGTGGAAGCTTCCTTTTTAAAAGTTCCTTTTCATCTGCTTGAGAAATTAACTTCATTTCCTTTTTCATAAAAGGGAGGATTCAGCAAAGACTATTATTTCATTTAATGTGAGATTATTTGGTATCTTATTTATTTGTAGAAATTAAGCTTCAGGGTAGAAAAGTGACTTGCTCAAGTTCAGACAACTTGTAAAGGTCAGATTCTGTAGTAGAATTCAGGTTAGTTTGAGGTGACTTTGTCTACTGTGGCATTCTATCTGTCTAAACTATTAGCTATTAGTTATATTTTTGTCATGTACACAAATGATGAAGAGCCCTGGCTGGTGTGGCTCAGTGGATTGAGTGCCGGTCTGTGAACCAAGGGATTGCCGGTTCCGTTCCCAGTCAGGGCACATGCCTGAATTGTGGGCCAGGTTCCCAGTGGGCGGCATGCAACAGAAAACCACACATTGATATTTCTTTCCCTCTCTTTCTCCCTCCCTTCCTCTCTCTCTAAAGATAAATAAACAAATAAAATCTTTAAAAAATAAATAAATAAAATAAAACAAAATTTTAAAAAATGGTGGAGACCTTTTGTGGATTCAGGACTTTTAATTAACTGATAGCCCTTCAAAAATTTCATTTCACTATAGCTTTTTTTGCATATATATTATTATCTTATGCTATAGTATATGTAAGATCCTTGAATAAAGATAATTTACACATTTTAAAATCTATAGTACTTAAAAGGTAAGGAAAGTAGGTGGGAGAGAAACTACCATGTACTTGTAGGTAGTGTTCAATACATTTTTTGTTTGAATTCATGGATGTTGGCAAAGAAGGAGAGGAAATTGTTTATTTCTCACCTATGTCAACTTCAAAATGGTGTTTCTGATGGTTTTCTTCACAGTGGTGATTTAGGGGGGCTCCTTCCATTGTGTTTCCTGTGCCATTTTTAATATGGCTTTGAAGATTACTACAGAAGGGGAAAGATCAAGGAGTATTGCATTTGAGAGGGATTTTAAGGGCTAGGCATAGTTGTAGCACATTAGTGCTTCTATTCATATTTCATTGACCAAAACTTAATTTCATGGCCATACTGACTTGCAAGGTAGGCTGGGAAAAGTTATCTCACTATGTCTACGAGGAGAAGGACACAGGATTGGTGGATAATAGCTAGTCTGTGGCACAGCCTACCCTTCTGGTTATCAACTGTCTCTTCTCTTTTCTCGTCCATAGAACACACTTGCCCTTTCCCTAAGAGAGGCAACCCAATATCCCCTGCAGTCACTAACATCCATCTCAAAGTCTAGTGTCTTCCAGAGAAGCTCAACATTCTATGTCAGATCCATGTATGTCTATGCAAGGGGTGGTGACCAGGAACTAGGATGTCAAGTTATCTGGACTTGTGTCCCCTCCACCCCCAATATACAAGGAAGAAGCAAGAACAGAATATAACAAAAACTCTCATGTGGAAAAGGGCATAATGGGAAACACAGTATTTCTTGCCTCATAGCAAATCATTTAGTATTTTTCAGACTATAAGACTCACTCCCCCACAACCCCAAATTTGGGAGGAATAATGGTTGTTAATGCTGCTGTTGAGTTCTATCTCTATTTACATTGGTGAAATATTATTAAATATTAAATATTTAATAATTTAACATTAAATATTTTAATGTTATTAAAATTAATACATGTTTTAATGTTATTAAATTTATAGTTATTAAATATTTTACCACATTTTTTGCTTCAAATTTGTTTTTCCTATTTTCTTCTTCTAAAACCTAGGTGTGTCTTGTCCGAAAAAAAGAAACAATAATCTTTTTGGGCTGCACTGGGAAATCCTTCTGCCTTGGTAGTGGGGAACTTCTTGCTTAGACAGTGACTCCTTGTCCATTGTTCTCTTGGGTACCTGACTGCACCCAGGTTTTTCTTTATCTCTGTTCCTACATACACTTCTGAAGTTGATGCTGGGGAATATACCTTTCTTAGACAATTTCTCTCTTTCTCTCTCTCTATACATTTACATTTATATTCCTTCTCTCCCTTTTTTCCCCCTCCCTCCCTCCCTTCCTTCCTTCTTTCCTCTACCTGCTTTCTGCTCTTGCAAGTTTTGGGACCTAAAAGTTTTTTTAAGGCTGTGAATAGTCAAAGATTTATTTAGTCCAAGTATATGGGGTTTTGGCATCATAGTTTCCTCAAAACTTAGTAGGCTTTTGATCTGTTTCTTTTCATCAGGTTCTATGTGGACATCATATTCAGTATTCTTTTCTAAATACAATTTTTTTCTTTTCCCTTGTTTGGGTAGGTAGTGGACCTAGGATAGCATAGCGCTTACCTCACATCCCCTTCTTTAATGGCTCTCTTTTGAGGCTATATGAAATAATGTGTGGGAACACCATACCTGAATATGATCTTTGTTTCAGGACTGAGCCACTTGTTTCCATTAAAAATCTTCTTGGGACTTTCTTCCTCAAACCTTTATCTCTCTTTTGTCTTACTGTTTAGGATCTGTATGTGTTTGGCTTTATTTTTAACCCTCTGGGGCCTGAGTTTCTGGACTTTTATTTCTTATAAGCTCAGTTTGCAAATCACCAAATTCTTTTCTATGCTTATCTCTTTTATGTAATACCTTGCTAAAAGCAGAAAGTAAATGCCCGTATACACTGTGACTGTCCATGTACTTGTAGAGCTATAGTAAGCATGTGCTGTGCCTTTTCATTTATCATGGGTGTCAGTTTCCCACTTGTTTTGTCACACTGTCACTGGGCTCTCCAGGTTTTCAGCTTGTGAAATACATGCTCTTGCTGCTGACTGCCTGATCTCTAAACTAATGCTGTTTAAGTGTGTTTATTTTTATTTTTAATTTTGTTATGGCAACACTGTTCTTCCAATACCAGTTTCTGTTTTCCTTAATAATGCTGCCTGCTGTTATAACTAAGCTCCAAAATCTCAAGTAGTTTTATTTCTAGCTCATGTAAAGTTCAAAGTGGATGTTCTGGTAGGGAGGCTCTTCTCCAAGTGATGGTCACCAAAAATCCAGGGCTCTTCCATCTTGTGGCTTTACCATTTCAACCTGTGGTTTCCAAGGTTATAGCAGTAGGGAAAAAAGAATAATAAATAATGCTGGTAGGTTTATTATAGACCAGGCTTGTAAGTGATACATATCACTTCTGCCCACATTACACTGGCCATAGCTTACACACTGCAAATGAGGCTTGGAAATAGAGTCTATCTGTCTGACCAGGAGGAGGAGAAAATAGGTTTGGGAATAGCTAGCTAGTCTCTTCTACAAGATGCTCTTATATAGCCTAGAAAAAAACATGTCTACCATGTCTCTTGCCTCTTTTCTTAAAAAATTGATCTCTGATATTTCTCCCCAATGTTTGCCTTCAAATTCACTAATTTAGTTTTTAGCATTGTCAGTGCTATTCTTGAGGATTTTATTCTTATTTAGTTCAGCAACCAAAGTTTTGGCCTTAAAGCATTTGTTCTTGTCCCTTACAAAGAAAAAGCCTTCTTTAGAATCATATGAGAAAACATATGAAAGTTTTATTTATATTGATGGTCTGGGCAGTTCTAGAAATTATATAGGTGAATATGCTTATTTCTAGGTGGACATCTCCCTTGTCTTTCTTCCATTCGCTGTATCCTGGGTTGCTACAGTGACCCATGGTATAGGCTTTGTCCTTGGTACAGTGAAATGATAGAGGCAGTTAATAAATTGGCTTTTCTTTGTAATATATCAGCTGAAATGAACTAGAACAGCTCCACAATAATTGAGCCTTA